GCCTGATTCCGCACCAGAGAAATACAAGAAACTTGCCGAGCGGTGTTGTGATGCTGATCCTGATAAGCGTCCAGATGTAAGTTCACTTCGGGATTATATGATAGAGCTTATTAACAAGGTGGACCAGGACAGCAGCGCATGGAATACCATCTATCATAGCAATGTAAGACCCCTATCACGTCTCGAGAAGGAGAGTAAATATTCTAGTAAACTCTTACCTACAGGAGAATTACCTAAACCAAGAAATAGCTACGATCTGGATTCAGCTGCAGGTATGAAGACAACAACCGGTTACGTGTTGGTAAATAAAGTTAATTTACAATATTAACATCGTTCACTGCTTATGATTTAGTGACTCAAACACTGTTTGAATAAGGTTGCAATTCACAGTTCATTCAGGGTTTGTATTCAACAGGCTGCCAAGTTGTTTACAAGTTTATTTTCTGTATTATATTAGTATATTAATATCCATGTACATGGATGTTAATAAGATTCTGAAATAAATTTACCTCTTTTCTCCTGTTGTCGGATCAATACACGTGGAAGAGCGTACGTATATTGACCTTGAGATTCAACCCTTCGAGCGAGATCTTTGACTATCTCTACTAACGTTAAATCTATAAATACGGTTAGTGACCTTGACGTTGGGTATATAATACTCACGATATAACGTACGCCGATCCTAACCTCGAGTTGATGCGTCTACTTCTTTCGATAGGATTAGTTTCGAAAGCCTACAGGTCGGGGAAATCTCACTACACTAACGCGTTTATAAGAATTAAATAATAATCCTGATGTCAAAGATTTCAAATGAAAATCGAAGGCAAGTTTTGATTTCATACACTGCCAATACGGAAAGCGATAGAAATAAATTTATAATTTATAACACAAGTTTTATTAGAATGTAAAAAACTATCTGAGTGCTAAGTTCATTTAAACATGTCACTGACCTGCCCGTCGTTACTACCGATTAAACACTATGGGAGTCTTAATTTACTCATTTTAACATATAAACGCGAGGAGTTATTGTACACGGTTTTTCTCCCCATAAAAACGGTTTAAGAAAATCCAGCGTAGAATTGAGACTATCCAGCGCTTGGCTGTTTGAAACATCAATTTAGAGATGGGAACGGAGGGTACTATTCTAGTTAAAAACGTCTCATACATGTAAGTTGTGGTCTATACAGTAAATAGGCAAAAAAAAACAAACTCTACAATGTTTCCTTCGACTTTAATGATATCATCTTTGTTGTGAACAACTACGCGTCAAGAAGCAATTTTGCTAGGGAAGTACGCGTAAGACGGGAATGATAGAGACGCTTCCGTTTTTGTCATTAGTTCCATTATGGTCCTGAATCTACATCCTACACAAGTTATATATTTTGGCTCTCCTTCCTACTATCGCAAGGAGACTAATGTCCTGCGGTGTACCTTATTTCAACGTGTGAATGTTCAATTTAATTACATTGTGAGTAAAATCTCAGGTATCTCATCAATATGTTTTGCGCTCATAACGAACGCAACAAGTTTCTGGTTGAATGGTTGAGTATAAATACAAACGTAGATAGTTAAAAACAGTCGAGTAAAGAAGAATGCCAACTTGTAATAAATCCCTAATGTTTCGCCTCGTCTGGTTTTGCCGTAGTATGCAAGTAAGTAAATGTAAATTATAACAGTAAAGTCATACAAGTATTTCGAACCCACTTTTTTACGTCCTTTAGTTCAAATTCGCATATTCCGCTTGCTTCCACCAAGCATTCCATTGAGCTTTGAGAGATTCTTTTGTACTATTATTGCTAAATATATAATCAATCGACTGGTAAGAGAGCTCATATAACTGTCTTTGTGTTAACGAGAATGTCGATGCCGCTATTCCATATTCCATTGATAAATCGGAGAGGAAGATGCCTATCTTGAGAGAGTCGGGATGAGCAAACAGAGATATATAATATTTACGGATCAGAAAGATTCATACCTTTATCATCAGTCTAGGATAATAAAAATAACGAATTAGTGTTGAAACGTATAGACGAACGATTTCCTCCGACACTATTTGATGTACTCACTCCAAGAACGCAAGGATGTTTAAGATCCAAGAATTCTTTTATGTGATGATCTTCAAACTTTTTGACAGTCTTGCACAGAACGTTAGAAGTCATGCACATTTCGATTGGAATATTGTTTTTGATTAAGAATTCTTTGCCCAGTGGATCGAGATAAGTGCCATGCCCGATGCGGTCGGGCGGGATTGTGATTAGAGATGAATGTTCCGACACACTTGAAGGAATCTCATAGATGAAGATGTCAAGACATTATTGCGAGGAAATAAAAATGACATAATGGTACGTGTATTGAATCTTACTTCGCCAAGGTGAATTGTAACTCCTAATCCATTCTCTTTCGCTTTAACAAAGGCAGGCAACAATTCTTCGATATTTCCGGCCTTAAAGGTAATATTTTGTATTAGCACGAATGGCAGCCTTATTAATTAAATAACATATTGTTATTTTATCACAATAAAATAAACTCACGCTCGGATTTCCACATAAATCAACTCCAACAATGCCCATCTGTTGATACTTTATTGCCAGGTCCACGGTTTCCATCGCTTCCTCCAAGCTGTTCCTTCGATCAACACCCAATATTAATTTTACAATGATTTCGTCTTGCGTAAATAACTCTAAACAACTTAAAACCGCTTGAACGTACGACTCCCTAGTCATTGCTGACAACATACAAATTGTAATCATCAGACGCAATTGCTTCATTGAGTATTAGAGAATACTAACGTATCACATTACCGCTTTCTAAACAAGCACGAGGAATAGTACGTAGTTCAAGATATTTGACACCATCTAACATAAAGTCATTGATTATTTCCTTGGTGACAAATGAAATAGATTCGGTGTCTGTCGTGAGTTTATAAATGAATTTAGAAAATATTGGGAAGAATCTATTTAAGAAAGAGATCATGGAATTTAGTCGAAATGCGAGCGTGAGCTTGATTTTTCGGTTCAAGTTTCATTGTGGGTTTACCCGAATATATCTTCCAGCTCGTAATCTGGTATTACGAAGTCGGCAAATTCAGAGTTTGTGAGTTTTTTCTTGTTGATTAGTTTTTGGCACGTCTCCCTGCTAATCGAGCCATTGATGTGTGCATGGAGTTCCTTTCAAAGCGTCGCAACAGCAATTAATACTTTATACTCTCGTATAGATATCCAATTCATCATGATAACTCGCTTATATATCAAATACTCACTACTTTAGGTAAAGCGCGGCAGTAGTCTGTTAGTTGCTGGAGTGACCCATAGTGTTTTATGACAAAAGGTGCTAGCATGTTGAACGGCCAAATAAAGTACAGGTGATTTTCAGGGGTTTAATATCAGATAACCACGATCCCAACGAAATGTCCGACAGAATTTCGTCTATCGCACTGTGATTTTTGAAAATTTATCAAAGTGAAGCCGACATATTAACATACATTGGCATTTTTCGTGTAATGGCCAAAAGATTTCGATGACATTTATAACTATAAACGCTCTAATTGCCGAATGTATTCATATAGTTAGATGCTGTGTCAAGAAAGGACTAGATTACGTGATCCAAGTTTCTTCCGTTATTCATTAGGTTTAGTAGAGATAATATTCATCTTATTAATTCGTGGCATCACACTTCACTCTTTAAAGGGATGTCAACTTCATATTCAGTGAGCCCGATATTATCAGCCGCCCGACTGGAAATTTAATTTAGAGTGTCTTTTCCTGTTAGGACTTTACTCAAACCCATTTGAAATGTCCGAGTCTTCAAGATTTATTTAATATAACCTTTTTTTTTTCCAGTAAAAACTCGTAGCGTGTTTTCGTAGAGCTAACTAAATTAATTAGAACTGTATCGAGAACTTCTACGCCATTTCTCCTTAAATCCGGACCGTTGGATGGGCAAAAAGGTTACATTAATATCAACAACGTCAAAGTAAATTTTTCTTAAACTTTACGTTTATTTTGAATGTTTTGCCTTCTCAACAGCTTGATGTCCTGATCAAATTTGGAAATCGATGATAAAAATGGAAGTTATTTGGTGGGGGCATCCCTAAATTGGAAATTGTTTATTTTTCATATGAACATAATTCCAGAATGGCTTCAATAAATCGTTTAGTACAATGTGCGACTAAAAAATCCTTGGCTAACACCAAACATTTGTTCTGGTTGGCGATATCCTAGATGATTGAATTTCAATAGGAGTTTGAGGTCGAAAGGGTGTGGATAAATAGTTAGGATGTTGCAAAATGCAAAAGCGAGATTTCCATTATACTCGCTCTCGTCATTAAGATATGGAAATATGTCTGTCTCATAAGCCATTGTTTTTGGCCGAAGTAAACGAGGTGTACTTAATCTAAGACATCGAATCAAACAGAAATGCTAATTCTATATCAATTAATATTGTATCAAATTCTTGTTTAGATTTTATTCTGTTACTATGAAGGCAATAAGTCTTTCCGGCTGATAGATAACATCATCAGTATAACAGTCTCATACAGAAGGGCGCTATTTATGCGCGTATGCTTAATTGCAGCCACTTATGAATTTTATCACATTTATCTGCGAATAAACCACGCGATAAAATTTCCAATTATTTTGTTTACACACTCGTATATCATAAGTGTTAAATTTGAATCTGAAACCATATTCGCATGTTGCTATGTATTTGTGGATATTTATATTATGCTCCATTCGCATTTATCGATAATAATATAAATTAAATTACATTTAAATATATTAAATGTCATAGCATCTTATTTGACCAATAATATTCTGACTTTTAAGGGCACCTTTTTGTTGCACCCATAGAAAGCAGATTTATTTTCTGATATGCAAATTCAAAACTGAAAACGTGAAATACGTGAGCTAGAATAACTAACTTATGGGCAGAATATTTTCTAATTTCTTTAATTCGCGAAGCTTTAAATTTCTAACTGGAAAATACAAAGAAGTTATGCATAGATGATTGCAACCGAAAAATACTAACGATTCTATTTATTGATTCCTAATTCGTCGTAATAAGCGTACGTGTTTATCTTTATCATAATAATTATCGAAGGTATCATCACAGCTAGGACAGTTGAGTTCTTACTCATTTGAATTTTCTTGGAAAAATTTCGAATCGTGTTCTCACGCTTAATAGCTGCAATATATGCAACCATTCTTTACGTATTGGCAGTTGAATGTTACAATATTCGATCAAAGCCGTCCTATATTTAATAACGTAATAGATACATTATTACGTAGATACATTATTACGTGCGTAGCGAATAGAACTTTGTTATGACATGGTTTTGTCAATTATTTCTGGATTGTCAGTGGCAGCAAGAATTATGACGGGAAGTTGTCGAAATATCATCTATGGGCAGACATAAAGATTGTAATTTTAATTGCATCTTCTTGTCTGACCTTTAAATTAGACATACTAATACCTTTTTACCTCGCGTACCGCCCCCTCACGTAAACCAAATTACAGCTCCAACTCATTAAAAAAAATTACACATGGGCTCGATCGAGCAGCTATTCTGAACGCATTAGCTACCCAAGTTTTAATTGTTTTGGCTTTTTCTGACTCACCAACCTTGACAATTATTCATAGTAGAACACTACGAGTAAGCCATCTTATTATTCCATTATGGGTTTGCTAACGGATATGTTACCTCCCTTTGATTAAATTAGGTATCGACACAGGTAAAAAGTTGGTTGCAACTGCTTTGTTAAAAGAGGTTTGTCGGTTCCCAGAGGCCCAAATCTAAAATCAGATTTAGCAAGAAGTGACGGGGGTAGGAGAGATGACCGAATGGAATGGTAACTTAGGAAAGATTGGGTTTTATTTCTGGAAATCATATACATACCTTTTGATGGCTGAATCCCCAATCGTCGAAAAGCATCTGTGTTCACACAACAGACTTGTCTAGGAATTATTTGAATTAGATAAAGATATTAAATGATCGGTGTTTCAGCGTTCACAAATCGCTACCTTTACATCATCTAGACCACCAATATCGCTCCATCGAATCGGGTCAATTTTCTTTACATCGTTCTTTTCACTACTTTCGTAAGTGCGTTTGATTTCCCTTACAACAACATATAAAGTTGTTAGAAAAAGAATCGGCAGTGCTTGGTATTGGTTGACTATACAATTTTATACCTGTCTCGTCGATGCTTTTAATATTAGCGCGCTTCAATAGCTATACGACAAAGTGCTGCCAAGCAGCAGCAATGTTAACCATGGCATTTGTCTGAGATGTCGTCTAAGTTGATGATTTGTCTTGAGACTATTTTCAGTATTTCGCGTCTCTGTATGGTTGATGCGACAGTAGATTAACAGTATAAAATATAACCCACCGTAAATAACGTCCTTAGAACATGGTTCTGGCAAGCGGGTTGAGTTTAAATATATCTGTCGAAGTCCCGATTTATTCAAAACATTATGATATTGAATAAACACACTCTATTGTTTTGATCAATTACAGCTATACTTACTAGTAGAATTTTGACATCCTTGCTTATTGTAATCAATGCAAGTTTGATACATTATCTCATCAACAGGAAAGAAAAGCTCTATATTCCTCAAGAATGACTGTCTGAAGGCAAAAGAAGGCAATAAGATCTGCCAGTAAACATTACAGATTACTTACTTATATACCAAGGTCAGCTATAAGTCCGTATACCTCTATCGGGATATGAGAAAATCTGTTCAGATTTAGTCAATGTGTAGAACGGACAAATATTGGGCTATTACTATAGGGACAACCACCCTAACTTTAATAGCTTTGCAAAGTGCGTTCTTATATAAGTTTTTTCCGATGCCAGTAGGTCCATTGACAAGAGATGATTTCGGAATTTCAATGTTATGACTCAAACGTTCGTCCCTTCTATGATGGAGTCTTGCATCGATTGCTTTAGTATTGACTAGCATTATGAACAATTAATTCATTGGGTTATACATAAATGTGGCTGGGGAGATGTAAATTTTATGTTGCACAAAGTCTTTATTATTCATTCAAAAGTTGATAAAATACAAAGGGGTAAAATTCACGTTTTTAGAAATCATTTCAATTTATTTATAATATAATATACCAATAAGGTTTGTCTGCTGCTGTTATGAGCCTCGCGGTTGATTTACCGCTAACGGAAAAAGGAATTGATTGAAATTGATAAATAACGCCCTCGATACAATCGAAATTCACCACTACGCATACAGTCAACAACATAATTTTTGGCTACGGAAGACAATTTCGTAACACCAATTGTGCAAAAACAACAGGGATCGGAAAAAGAATTCGATAAACCAATCAGAAAATTGGAAAATTTAATAGACAACAAATATACTATTTCTTGCTGTGGAAAAATCACAGGTGTCCTTTATGTACTGTAAATAATCCACAATCTATACGACAATACTGAATTAATGCAATTGCTCAGTATAATATAACAGGAAAGCTTCAGAAAATTTCAGTGCAATATCAAGTATTTATAGAACGAGTTATTCGTATTGAACAAAAAGAAGAAATTTCTCTATTGGATGGAAAATTATTACAAATTTACTCAGCCCTTAGTGAAACCTATGAAACACTTAACGAACTTCTGAAGAAGAATGGAAGAAAAACCCGTTTGATCTATATTTGATATTACAAGTGTACGACCAGATAATCAACAGTGCAACGTTGGATAAGGGAGATGATCAACGAATGGTGTGACAATTAATAATGAACAAAAAGAACTAAACGAACTAAACGAACTAAAACGAAAGTTGTAAACGAAACAAGCGAAGCAAACGAAGAAAAATTTAACGAAAGGAACGAAAGAAAAGAAACTACAATAAAATGCAAATGTAGAAATGATCAACGGAACTGAGAAGATATAAAAAAGCATGGTCTCACTCTCAACCCGACCTCATTCACCTTCGGATGATAACAAAGTATCAAATAAAAACTCAGGAAGAAAAACAACAACAACTAATCTCACTTGCGGAAGAAATTATCGACGAATACATAAATACCTCAGCCTGCCAATTTAACAAATTAATCGATTTTAAACTAAAGAAACAATGCCTCGAGTATCTCACATCAACCGAAACATCCCTCAAGAATACCAACAAATTAACGCCGACATCCGATGCGGATGTGATCCAAAAAGAATTATCGGACAACGGAAATATTTCGAAGAAAACCAACGAAATAACGGAAGAAAGATATGGCAATTCCGCTATCACTGCTGTCAATGTGGAAGTGCCGAACCACTTGGAAACCTCAGACAAAGAGATGGGGAAGAAAAGGGAGACTATATTGCCAACACCCCAAATGCGAGGAAAAGTATCAAAAGGAACAGAGAAGAAGAAAATCAACCATGGAGGAAAAGACCCAGTCCGAATCTTCATACACGAAATTAACCCTATATTATGGAGCGATGTAGTAAAAGGGAAAAACGTAGTTTTCTCTCCTACTCCCAACGATAGTGAGGAAGAAACAGCAGAATACTATGTAACTCAAACCCAGAAATGTTCGTGTTGCCATGGAAAGTGACGCCTAAAGACCGGGATGAAGACAGATATAATTATTACTGCACACGTGACTGTAAATGGGCCTTCCTATCGGTTATAAGAAAAAGACAAGCTAGTACAGCGGAAGCATTAATTGGAAGAGTATTAGGTTTTTATCGCCGCAATGATTATTTGGCTAGAGCATGTCTAGAAAAAGCACGAAAGGGAATACGATCCGGTATCAAATTTCGAAAAATTACAGACAACTATCCTTAATTGGGAGAAAATGCAATTAGACGAAACCCTGGAAGAAGACGAATTTTCTCCCAAAGGACAATTTATGGTTTGGAATAGCCTTCCTCCCGAACAGTAACGAATGTGCAGAAGATCGAGACCAATATAAACAATTGGTCCAACAGAACTACTTATCGAAATGGAACATACGCAACAATATTTACAAGAGAGTTTAGAGGAAGCCCGAAAATACACCAGAAAGAAATTGAAACCCTCAAAAAGGAAAAAGAAGAACTCTCTCAGAAACACCAACAACAAGAAGAGAAACTCTATTGTTACGGCAAGCGATCTGATGACTCAGATAAGTGAGTCACATGCAGTCAACAAAATCCCATGATCGACGACGTTAATTTTAGAATGGTAGTACAGCGTTGCGTTTTAGGCACCAGGCGCAGAAACGTTTCAATTTTTGCGTGTCAGTACAGCTAAATTAGAATATTATTGGTTCTTCATAGAAATTACGATTGTTAACTAATTTTAACTCCGTTTCGATTTTTGAG